TCCATCTGTGAGCCACTCTATTAACTAATGTCCCCTCCACTGAATTTGTCTTCATTAATCCTTGTGTTCTTTTCACATCATAGGTTACCCAATTGATTTGGGGGTGCCTTTTTATCTACTTTTCCCTTTGGTCAAAACTGATTCTTCTCAGGTCAATGCTAATACACTTCTCCTGTATCTCTATGTTAATGATGCTTCTTTTATTACAGAGGGTTTGTGAAGGAGCCATTTCAATTGACAGAAATTTCAGGGTGGCTGTACCTATAGGCATGCATCTAAAATGAACTGCCATCCCTTCTCCTCATAACTATAAAACCTTTTCTCTCTTAATCCCCAACATTTCCCTTTCTTAACCTCTTACTCCTTGGCAAGCCTTCCAGAATTATGTAAATAATCACTTTCTTGATCAGCAAATCTTATCTCCCAGCAGAAAAGGAGCCCAGGTAGATTTTTTATACATATACATATACACATATACATGCATACACACACATATACATACGTGCGTGTATATGTATATATGTGTATGTATATGTATAGATTCTTATTATTATTCTATTTTTATTTATTTTTCCTCAACTTAATTATTTAGCTAGTCCAAATTAAATAATTAATATGATTGAATTAAATAAGTTAAATTAATTCATCTAATTATTTTTATCATTCCTTATTTTAATTCTCTTGTCCTCGATGTCCTATAAATTTCCTATAAGCCGCTGTCCTTTATGAAAGTAGATAATACAGTGAGATAGAAGAAGAAACTTCGAATGGCATATCTATGGTGTGGGAATGCATGCTTAGATACTCCTAATAGGTGTCCGTTTTTGAGAGACATGTATATAAAAAGTTAAATAGCTAGGGACAGCAAAGTCCTAGGTTCTAGAGGAAAAAGGGTTTTATATAAGTCTGGGGGAGTATTGATGAAGACAAAGATGAAGCTAGGTGGCACAGGGCACTGCATTTGTAGCCAGGAAGAACTGAGTTCAGATCCTGCCTCACACATAGTAGTTGTGTTACAAGTCCTTCCCTTCTTTACTCACTTGTAAAATGTAGAAAATAATAGTACTTAACTTCCAGGATTATTGTGGAGATCAAATGAGCTAATATATATCAAACACTCTGCAAACCTTAAACCACTATATAGATGCCAGCTATTTTTATCAGGGTCAATGTGAAGGGGGGGAAGAGAAGAGGTTTTTTTTTTTTTTGCTTTATGCATACTTAATACAATGGTGTTTTGTTTGCAAAAGTCTTAGAAAATATACTTCTATATATTTATACATGGGCATTTTGTTCACTTTTTAAAGCATGATACTGATAAGGTCAATTAGAATAGCTAGTTTCACTGTCTTCAAGAGATGCCAGTGTTTGTAATCAAAGCTAACCATTTGATACTGCATATGTAGAACCTTCAAACTGGGAAGAATCCTTTAGTACAATCTGTACTTAAATGGAAATCATCCCACATTTCCAACAAGTAGTTTTTAACCTCTGCCACAAATGCCTCTGGTCCCAAGGAAAGGGATAGGCAAGAAAGTATGGGTGGTTTAGTTCAGTATGGTGCTTCTGTTAAAAAAAAATGTTTCAAAGCTCATGCCTTTTTGACACAAGTGAGTTGTTTCACATAAAAGGAGGTGTGTGCTACAGAGAAGCAGAGTAGTTACAGCAGAACTATGCAGAGGGGTATAGAGTACCAGCTTTTGAGCCAGAGGACCTGGTTTCGAATTCAACTTCAGTTACTTATTACCTGCTTGACTTTGGACAAGTCACTTAAACTCCCCAGTCCTTTCTAAAAAAAAAAAAAAAAGAAAAGAAAAGAAAAAGAAAACAAGGGTGTTGGAGCAAATGATCTTCCCAACTAGCCAACACAGAACTTTACCTGATTAGCCCAATTACATTGTGACTGACTATAACAGAAGCCCATTCCCTTACACATAGATTATCACAGATTCAGACATGCCAAATATCTAATGGTTTCCCTTGAAATCTAAGGACTATACCAAGTTAAGCTCTATTGTATGATAAAGCTTCTTCCTTGCTAACATTGTTAAAATGTCCCATTGTAAGAGAAACACAAACTCATTATCTCTAATAATCAACAGGTAATACTTAACAGATGACAAATATGAATCCAAGGCACAAGCAACTAGCTTTCTAAAGATCAGTCAATGTCTCAATTGGTGACATTTATTATTTTCTCCCCATGTTCATTTGAAGGTTTATCTTGGAGAGGTCATTTCTATGAAAGTTATTTCCTAGGTAATTACCAATGTAATTCCAATAGCATGTTAGTTTGTATGTTTGCATTGTGTTTAAAGGATAGGGAAAACATTCATTTTATAAAGTGGTGGGGGGAAAAAAAGCTGGAAAATGCCAAACATGAGTGCAGTATGATCTTATCTGTTGAAGGTTCAGAAAGAAATACTTTATAGAGACACTCATCTGCGGAAATCTGAGGTTATTTTGGATGGCCAAGTCAGCTAACTTTGGGTAATGAAAGATTGTGGCAATATTTGTCATTCAGCTCACCCAGGACTATCAGTTACTCACAGAAGAGTACAACCTTAAGTCAGCTGTCCATGAACATTTGGTTTCATACACAAGACACTGAAATCATTTCCAAAGGAAAAAAGAAATGGGCTCAGAAAAATATTCCCTCAGACTAAAATGGGAGACAGACATTTGAAGACATACTTCAGTTTTATTATCTTTTAGGCATAGATGGGCATGTTAATCCATTTCCACACACAGTTCCTGTAATCACCGACAGGGAGTGAACTTTAAGCTGGGAAAACCTGCCTCCTGTTGCCAAAGAGTTAAACTGGAGAGAAGCTGGAGCAGAAACCTCAAATGGCGAGGACTGGTTCATCTTCATTCTCAATATTGTTGATGTAGATGTTGGTTCACAAACGTTTTTCTTCTTCCAATTTTTGATGCAGTGGACAGTGTTGTTCCCTTTGTCCCTGCATGCTTTCTGTTCTCGTTCTGGAGTGTGCCATGTCAGATGGCCCACTCACTAGGGTTTGACAGCTACTTCTGGAATTAGTTAACTATCACAAGCTGAAGCCAAAGTATTGTGGTTTTTAACCCTTTCTTCTTAGTGTCACATTGCTGCTTTCTGCAAAAGTATCTTAGCAGCTTACTTTGCAGCCTTTATCTCCCACAACCAAAAGAAAAAAAATTATATATAAGTAATTTCTTTTTCTTTTAGTGTTCATGTTTTATTTTGGAAAACAGGTGTTTAAAAATTTTAGAATTTCCTTAAACAAAACTCTACAAAGAAAAAAAAAGGAAAAGAAATCACAGTATTTACAGAGATAACAGAATGGCTTAGCCATGCAAAACAAATTACTTTGGTTTTTTTTTTCCCTTTCACTTTGGTTTAAATGTTGACCAAAATTCAATTTTTTTCCTGCCAAATAAAACTTTAATAAATCAAAGTTTAGAGGCAATATAGCATATTTTCTTTTCCCTCTAATATTTTATACATTATAGAATTTAATAGGACATCTTATGTATTTAATCCATACCAATGTACTACAGGAAGCTTTTATTAAGACATCAGTCACTACTGCCCAGACATTTTACAAATTTACAATAACAGTGTGTTTCTAAAGAATGCAGAAGTGGCAAAATATCATTCCTGACTTCCACTTGAATTTAATCTCCAATTTGTCTGTTAACTTCTATTTAAAAAAAAAAACAACTTTCACTGGTCTGTTCAAAAAAGTCACCAGTTTCCTTTTTTTTTTTTTGTCTCCCCTTCCCCTCTGGATAATTGGTTTTTGAACTGGAAATTTGATGTTGTTGGTCCACAAAATTATGTTACACTCAGGCCAAAAATGGCTGTATCATGTTTATTCAGAAACCAGGCTTCTGCATGAAGGAGGAAAGGTTGAAAAGGCTAATCACAAATACACTATTGGCCCATATCCAATCTACCTCAAAATATTTCCATTTATACTACCATCCTAAAAATGTCCAAGTGTAAAACATGTTTATAAAGTTACAAATCTGAATGTAACTAAAGATACATAGACATTTCATTATTACACTTTCATGTACTGTTTGATAAATTAGGTACCAGTTAAAAACACTAAATTATCTCAAGGTGCATTCAATATCTGTAGCGTAGTTAACAAAAACAAACACACACAAAAAATATATATTCTATTCCTGTGGAAAATAACGCAGCTCTGATAATGACCACTGTTGAAAATCTCCAATTCTGACTGATATCTTCTTCAAAGAGGACAAATAGTGTCTTTTTAAGGCAGTGGAAAACCCAAAGGATACAAAATCAATTTGAAGTTTCAGTCACATTAAGAATAATGGAAATGGGGATATAAACCATGATTTTCCAAACTGTTATTGATTCATTGATTTACTTTTTTTTTTCCTTTTAAGAAATATTCCCAGCAACTATCTCTATATGTAAGTACTAACCCCAATTCGGTGTTCATGTTTCTTGACAACAGGCATCTATTTCATTTTAGGAAACCTGTTGCTTATGTTAGTATGCTTGTGTTTTGACTGGTGTTAGTTTGTTGTATATACGTTGAAACAGTGTTTTTTCAACCTGACTTGCGTGTGTGTGTGTGTGTGTGTGTATTGAGAGAGAGAGAGAGAGATAAAATCACATCTTTGAATAGAGTAACATGTGATGCCCCTACCACATGGCCACAAGTTTCTACCTTAGGATTTCAGGAACTTGTGACAAAATGAGGCATTACTGATAGCAATCAGAATCAGAAATGTACCTGCTCAAAGAGTGTCCATAAAAAACAATTGAAATAAAAACATTACACTATACATCAGATTAACAGCAACTCCCAGAACAAAGCCTTACAGTGTATAAAAATAGCTACGTAAAAAATTTACATAAAAGGCAAACAAAAAAAGAAATCCTCAGTGCAGAAATTTACAGAAAAAAATTCAAACACAACACAACATAGTGACCTATTATCATGGCTGCCAAAATTTGTTTTTTTTTCCTTAAATTTTTCTATTTGTTGTTTTACTTGAGATAATTTTCTAAAATCTTGTGACAGCTTGGTAGAATGAACTGCTTAACACTTGAACCATGAATAGCTGTCAATGTCTTTGTATATGTCTTAAATACAATCCACGTTCATGCTTCAATTGGTCTATATGTTTTTTTTTCTCTGAAAATGTGGAAAGAAAAGAAATTAACCAAGGTAAATTACCATTAACAATCAATATGTATCTGTCAATTGCAGTTTGGGGAAAAAATGTCACATATATGACCTGATTCTTTTCTAGTTCTGTTCTTAAGTTTATGCATTTTTTCTAAAGTAATTTATTTGAGATTGGTTAAGAATTTTGTTGGAGGGGTGGTGTTGGAGGAGGGGAATTGCTTAACTTTGACAAATCTGTAAGACCCATACACAGAAGGAACACCAAGCATTTCATCCCATTTATATATTGGATAAAAATACTTGCCCTTTCCCTAAAATCATATTCTACTTTCCCTAACCAGAAGGAAAATAATTTGAAGTTCAAATCTTATTCTGAAAATATCACATCCAATTTTAAAGAAAATGGATTGGTGAAATGAATCGTATAGCAAAGACAAGGAAGTGTTCCTCTGAGTTGTAAATCTGAGAAACCTGAAAATCAGAGCTCCAATTTGAGAAGGGGATAAGAGGCACCTCATTCAGGCATTGAGCACTTTGACCTCTCAGTCTTCTGATCTTTAAAACAAGCCTATGTGACATCAGATCAGTTAGAGGTATTTGTGGTTCTTCTCTCTCATAAGCCTCCTCTTCACTGCTACATCTTTTTTACCACATGACCAGATCCCACTTTGCTTTGTTCCACTCCAAACCTTACCTTACAGGTTTAACTGTAATGACCCTTCTATCTACTGTGGTGGACATGGGCCTCACACTCCAAAGACTATGCATAGACTAGCAGTGTATATCATTCTCACAAATGCCCCAAATTCTCATATGTTGTAGAGCTGAGAGAGGTCTTTTGTTCAGTCACTTTTCAGGCTTTCTTGACAAAGGTCCTGGAGTGGTTTGCCAATTCCTTTTTCAGCTCATTTTAAAGATGAGAAAACTGAGGCAAATAGGGTTAGGTGATTTGTCCAGGGTCATATAGGTAGTAAGAGTCCGAGACCAGCTTTGAACTCAGGAAGATGAGTCTTCCTGACTCCAGGCCTGGGAGTCTATGCACTGCACTACCTAGTTGCATTAGCAGAGCTTTAGAAATCATTCATTTAATCCCCTCATTTTCTAGGTGAGGAAATTAAGCTAGGAAGACATAAAGTATCTTGTGCAAGATCACAGGTAGGACAGCTATAAGAAGCAAAGATGGGATTCAAACCTCCACCTTCTTGCCCCAAAGTCACTTCTTGCTCTACCATATTACATTGCCACCTATGCTATGTCTGTCTGTGCCACGGGAACACAAAAAGTGAGAAAATGTAACTATAACTGCCTAATCATCATCCTCTCTAATACTTGAGAAAGAAATACAGAAGTCACATACCTCTACAGATATATAATCACTCTCTCTAGTTATACATAAAGGCCTAGAGTGAGCTGCTTTCCTTGTATTGGAAAGTTTTTCAAGGGAAGTTTAGATAAATATCGTATCACTCGTAAGCAAAACTTCTGCATTGAAATGCTTAGATTACATTTTTACGTGAACCTCTTCCTTTTTCCCCAAAATGAAACCATTAGAACCTTGAAACATACTCTCATAATATTGTTAAAACCAGCCCATAGAATGAGGTTTCTTGGGTTTCTGAAATCCTATTGGCAATGGGGTCAAAAAGGCAAAAGTTAAAATCTCAGGGGTGACGTTGGTTGTTCTAAGGACAATGGTTTTTTATTCTGTGAATTTCCAATCTTTGGTCTCACTAAAGTGCTGTGTTTTACTCCTAAAGACATCTCTTTCAGGATTTGAAGGCCAGAATTATGAAACAAGTACCTCAAAACCTCTTTTCCTTTAATCTCCTAGGATACTTCATACTTACCCACTAAGTCATTACATTTAGACCCTTGTGTAAAGTCCACCTACCTGGAACAGCAATTGGGGGAAAAAAATTCTCTTAAGCTTCTGTTTTGTGATTGTTTTCTTCTAACTTTTTGTTTTCCTCCATGTTTCCCAGGTCTTTGTTTACATGTTTTGATGCTGTCCTATAAGAGAAGTAAGATAACTACTATTGCGTGTGTTATGTGTCCATCCACTACCATTAAGGTTCAAACTCATGCATCTCTGAAAGTGGAGTGTGATCACCAATACATATTAGACAAAGCACTAGTGTAGCGATGGGGAACCTGCAGCCTCAAGACCACATGTGGCCCTCAAGAGTGGCCCTTTGATGGAATCCAAACTTCACAGAACAATTTGGATTCCGTCAAAGGGCCACACTTGAGGAATTAGAGGGCCACATGTAGCTCAAGGCTACAAGTTCCCCACCCCTGCATTAGTGTGAATAGTTTCATTTAAACAGAAAACCAGTTACTGGAATTAACATTGTGGTAGAGTTGTGTTTATAGGCATAAGATCAACCAAAAATTCAATTATCTTTAATGTAGACTTCAAATAATCAGTTCTCTCTTATCTTTTGGTTGTATAATTTCCACCTTCCCCTATAATTATTTTAGGTAAGTAGTAATTCCTTTATATATAGAGTTTTCCTCTCAGCAGACACTACCCTGAACACTAAGAGTGGAACAGGGCACCTCTTTGGAGTCTCCTCTCCTATGCACACCAACCTAACCAAAGCCTTGTGCACCTAATTTCAGTTTCTATTTCAACAAAGAATTAGGTGATGTTATATAGGAGTGTACCCTAAAGGCCCTGGGGCTGTAGCAGTGGCATGGGTAGGAGATGCTTTCTGGATGGGTGTCACATCACAATCTTTGCTCCTGTCTTGTTTATTTAGAAAACCTAGAAAGACAGCAGCAGCTAAAGATATGGGATGTTAAATATTGTTGACATTTCTCACTCTTTAAGAAGTTCTCCTCAAATCCCTAGATGGAAACTTCAATTTCTAGATTCTTCAGGTAAAGCTAGAAGAGGGCAAATATTTTACCTTTCTCCTAGATTCCTGGCACAATGGTGCAACAATAGAGCTCTCTGATCTCTGTGTTTGTTTTTTTTTTTAAATACATTTAAAGCACTCAGTAATCCATGTAAAATGTTAGGTGCCCCTTGGTTGAGAAGCTCAAGGAAATGGAAGCTTAAATTAAAAAAAAAACATATTGTGCCTATAAGAACTTACATACACGCAAAAGATTTCTGGAACTCTTATGGCTAGAATCACAACTTTTCTGGGAAAAGGGAAGGAGCCAAGTATAGTATACATACAGGAGAGATAAAGACTTATGACTCATTCAAATTAGGACACTTAATGCAAGTAGTTTAGGATGAATTCATGAATTAAATGCTTAGCTTAGTTTGAACTATAGCCTATAAAATCCATTCATTAAGTGTGTGAGCAACTCTGGACCAGTCTGAGAGAGTCCCTTAATGTCATGAGATCTTTTCAAGGTCAGAAATTCCAAGATACAAATGGAAAAATGCAGTGAATGAACTCAAGGTAAATTCCTTAAGTTAAATTACTTTATCACATGAATATTTTCTTTCTGGCACTATAATTAAATGGGATAACATGTATAGCAATTTACAAATCTTAAAGAGCTATATAAATGTTAGTTATTATTGTTAACTGCCATATAAAGGTACAGGGCACACCTGCATAAATCATCCAATAAAGTACGTTAGAAACATTTTTGCAGAGAATAAGAACAAAAAGTTCTAGTACCAGCTCTATAACAAATTAGCTATTGTGACCATTGAGTAACTTAGTTTCCTTATCTGTAAAATGAAGGCTTTGGACAGGATGACCACTGAAGTCCTTTCCCATGGTAAAATTAAGTAGATCTAGAAATCTTTGTCTCTGGTCCTCCTGTGGCCATTTTAAATTTCGCATGTCCAGATTTTATGCAAATAGTGCTCAGCTTTTCCAGATAACAGTCTGAAGGGGATGTTGTCTCAGATAATCAAAATCTAGAAAATGATTACTGATTTCATCTACTAAATTCATTTTTAAAATGTGATGCATCAAAATTATCAGTGGTTCTTGCAACAAATGATCCATATTTCATCTAATCCAGAGACACATGAATTTCTTTTGGAATTTACTCATAATATTGGTCTTCATCAAACTTCTGTTCTTTCATTAAGGTCCTGTGTTCTCAAAGGCTATGCCAATATGAGCTTAACCTTGGGAAGATGCTTCCAAATTGGAAAAGCTTTGAGTACAGGGCCAGTGATGCTTTGTGGATCTGTCATCCACCTACCAAAAGGACCAATCTCACTGAGTACTGGAGTGGTTAATCATCAGAAGGCCTGGTGGTGATGGTTTTTTCCCCACAGCAACTCATGAAATTATTAAGGACCAAAGGGGCTTTTACATGCTTCCTAAGTGAGAAAATACCATCACTGATAAAATATCAGATCATTTGAAATATTGAAGTTAGAGGTAAATAAGTTTATCATCATCTTGCATAAAGAAAATGAAGAAAGAAAAACTGAGGACGCAGTTAAGTTCTTCCCATAAGCACCCAGAATACTGTCCCTACTTCCTGGGTAAGGAGCTTTAAGGATACATTTTGCTGATGGTGATTACCCCACATCAATGGCATAGCTAAGCACAGAATCAACTGCTTTCAAGTCTGTATTTTCTATCACCCTACACTGAAGTGTCAGATACATGCATGGATACTATGTAGGTGATACAGGAGTCATTGAAAACTATTTGAATCAACACATTGGGGGTAATTAAGGAAAATGTGTCCAAGGCTTTAGAGCCAAGTATTTGCTTTGCTATCTTCACTAAGTGCCAATGTTAGGGGATAGCACTTCTCAGTGAAATGAGACTTTGAACTTGTGACATCAGCCTCAGTATCTGCTGGGGCCATCTCTAGTGCTCTTTTTTTTTCCTGTCTTTTCTCAATCATGGAGGTAAAGAAAATGACAACAATCCAAGAGATAAAAGTACTGAATGTGAAGCCAAGCCCAAGAATAATTAATAGAACAAGTTGTTTTGACAATGAACTATTAAATAGCTCATGAGTGTTTAGAAGGCGCTTAAATGATCTTTTTTTATTTTGTTTTGTTGGTGAGGGCAACTGGGGTTAAGTGACTTGCCCAGAGTCACATAGCTAGTGAGTGTTATGTGTCTGAGGCCACATTTGAACGCAGGTCCTCTTGACTCCAGGGCTGGTGCTCTATCCACCGTGCCACATAGCTGCCCCTTTAATGATCTTTTTAAAAAATAAGTTTATCTTTTCCATTAAATAAGAAGAAAATATGAATAAGAACATGCAATGAGATGACACTAAATCCAGTAAAGGATTGAATGTGTTGGTGAAAGTTTGTTGGTAAAACAATTACATGTCCCTAAAATTGAGAAGATCAAGATTCTGATGTTATAAGAAGTTCAAGAGAAAATGAGGAAAGGGTAAAGGAGAGAGGATGAAATACTGTGAGCTTGCTTGTGAAGTTAAATTCCTTGGGGTTGACGATCTTTGGGAATAAGTAGGAAAGAGATACCGCTGTGTGCCAACATTTATATAATAGTGCTTCTGACAGAAAGCATCACTTAAGGCTTTGATGTCTGCCCACTCTACAACTCTAAGCAAGACATATTGCTTGGTGAAGAATGGTTGGTTGTGGTTTTACCTGTCTAATCACCTGTAGTTGAGGTAGGGAGGTAAGGAATGAATTCCTGTTGTTAGTTTGTATTCAAACTCATTTTCAGCTTCTGATGAGTATTGTGAATTTTATGTGCTGTGAGTCATTGAGTAAGAAGATAACAAGGAAAGGTCCAAGAAATTGTTCATGATTGTTCTAGTCCTCCTGAATGCTAGAACTTCCTGATTCTATCAAAGGAAAGAACCAAACATGCCTTCAGGGTCTACTCCTAGAATCTTACAGCTGAAAGAGGACTTTAAACTAGTGAAGCAGGCTTTATAGTTGCTAAGTGGATAGCAGCGTTGTTACTTTATGGTCATCAAATCATGTGCCTTTGTTTATACAAAGTTGAGGGACAGAGATACATTTTCTTGAATCAGAGAGAGATGCAGAAATGAAGAAGGAAACTGATAGTGGACACAAAAGTTTGGAAGTGAAAACAAGTGAATTGCTTAAGCTCTGGCCAAAGGATCCTTAGGTCACTGAGTATGTTTGGAATTTGGTTTTCTCAATATCCCAACTGGCTGCCTGGACCTATTTGTAAATAGGCAGGTCAGGGTGAGGTTGCATACCTGCCTACAGCCATGTTTACTATTCAGCACCATATTTAAAATGTGTGTGTGCATGTGCATGCATGGATATTGGGTGGACATAACAAATGGACAATGAATAGAAGACAGCATTTAGTGTAATTGACCTAGCTGCCACCCATCTGGGAAGTTAAGCAGCAATTTTAATGTCTCAAAGGCAACTCTGCAACAAAAGCCCATTTAAAAAACCCAAAAAAACCACTTGTGTGAGTCTTGAAATACAAAGTTCTTGGAAGGATTAAAAATGTAGATAATTCAAAGAGCAATGGAGAGCTGCACAGTGGACAGAAATAGGCTAGTGACTGTTATCCAAGAAGTGGTCTAAAAGACGTAATGGATGAACTGTGTGACTATAAAAGCAGGTAGAGGGGCAGCTAGGTGGTACAGTGGTTAGAGCTCTGGCCTTGGAGTCAGGAGGACCTGAGTTCAAATGTGACCTCAGATAGTTGACACTTACTAGCTGTGTGACCCTGGGCAAGTCACTTAACCCTGACTGCCTCACTAAAAAGCAAAAAAAAAAAAAAAGGAGATAGAATGGTCATGCTTTAGTCACTAAACTTAGAGGAACTATATAGGTTGTAGAAAGAACTGGTGATCATTGAGTTGTAGGCTATTGTTACTGATCTTTGAAATATTATAGAGAATAGAAGAGATACTATAGTACAAGAAATAGGCAAATGTTCTGATTTTCAAAAAGCGATGAGGGAAGATCACAAAACTATAGGTGGTGAGCTTACCTTCAATTATTAGAAAATTTCTATAGAGTACTATTAAGTGAATGATTTCAGGGCCTTTAAAAAAGAGAAGTGATCACTAAAATAAATCAAGTAACCAATTAGCAA